GAAGCCAAGCATTGTCTGTTACTTCAAGGAATTTATTGTTGTAAGAGATTGAATGGAAATTTTAGGAACGTTTTGGAGCATTTTTTATTTTTATGATTTAAATCTCCAATTAGTATGATTATCTTTTAAAATCATCCTCTTTCTGAAGTTATTCGATTTAAATGTCAACTTTCATAAAACAATCCAACAAATTTATATTGATTTGTCATTTACTCCAAAACTAATTTATTAGTTTACAGCCACATATTCGTTTTTTTCTATTTCATGAGATAAAAAATTATTTATTACATCTCTAGTAGTATAAATCAGCATGAAAGATTACTTAATAATTGTTAACTGAAATATACTTAAGAAAATCATTATTAAATATTTTTAATTACTCCAGTATGTAGACTTTAAAGTTCACACAAAGTTGTTGCATTTGAATTTCTAATATTATTAATTTATAAATTTATCAAATAAATTACAGCTGAATAAATATTGAATTTAATTCACACAAAATATAAAATTACAAAACTGTCTATGAGATGATTAATTATAATACACCAGTGTTAGTTTATTTATATTCATATCATGAATCTTAGCATATTTACATCAACAGCTGTATTGATATGTTGAAGAAATTGCATAAAACATCAGCAAATTTATGATGTCAATGACTTGGATTTCAATAACAAACATTTTGTATTCTAAGTGCAATATTATCTTGGTTAAAGTTGATAGAAGTCAACTTGATTTCATGATCAAAAGTAGTATATAAGATGTTATGAAGACAGTTTTTATGTTGCAAGTTATAAAAATGGTTGAAGAGAAAGAGTCATAATAAGTTTAATATCATGAGCACATGAGGAATCGACCGACGGACTATCAGCGACGATCTTCACTCATTATCAGAATTGAATAAATTTGATTAAATAAGGATAATAACTCAGTTTTATTAAATATACTCCGATAGTTTGAACGAATATGAATTGATTCAAATCACAGAGTTAAATTTTGACACATCACAAATGATAATATCAGTAGAATCAATCCCCTTGTTAGTACAGCAATATATGATGTCTCTATTTTTCATTTGATTTCTGCATATTTTATATTTCCTCAATGAGATCATAACGCACCTTATTCAACAGCTATCGTACGAGACTACGTAAATATCTCGTGTAAAATATCTCCCTTCACGTTCGTCGTAGCTTTGGTAATAAAACAATTCACGACCGCTAAGTTTGATCTCGGCTTATCCTTTTCTCTGTAGATCGAATTACACACAGACAAAAATCTACCAACACGTCTGAAAGATTCTTCATTTACCCTATCATTTCGTCTTTATCTTTACGTAGACGTTCTGTATCTGCTCTCTGCATCCCTCTCGTTTCCTCTTGAATTCTACTCTCTCGCGGCTTTCCCCTACTACTTTTAGCAACTCGCGAATCCCCACTTTGCGTCTTCAGCTGTCTCCGTTGCTCCAGAGTGTTACTTACTGTCAACCTGTCTCACTTGTGCACACATGTTTGTGTGCAATCTCCCCACCAACGTAGTGCTTGATACTCTGTACTTTCTGATCCAACGAATCCGCGATGATGGTGGGGATACCGCGAATTCCGGGGGCGTTGCTTGAGAATGTCCATGCCCATCAGTGCGCGTTGCCTTTTTCCCAGCTTCGTAGGTCGTCAAATGTTTTTCGCCGCGGATTATGACGCGGTCTGTGCGATTATGACCACCGCTCTCTCCGCACCGTAACCGGGCATCGCACGTACATACATGGACTCATGTACTCAACATATATGTATGTACATAGGATGATTTTTTGGTCTTTTTCTGTATTTTTTCTTTCTTACTACATCTCTTATCTTTCTCTTGCACTGTAAAACTTTTTCTTTTTTTATTTATTTGTCTTTGCTTCTTTCTTCATTTTATTCTGTGACTCTTTCACTACCTTCTCGTTTGCTCTTTAGTTTTTTTTGCTTTTGCTTCATATCTATACCCGTTCCTGTTTGTGACATTTGGTATATTAGGTAGGAGATATAGGTTTTTTTACTTCACTTGCTTTGCACCAAAATTCTCTTTACTCTTCTTTCGACATTTCATCGATTGAATAATAAACATTTGTATTGACAACATATTTGCAATGCTACTTCTTATCTTTGTGAATTTTATTTTCTATGAATTTTGATCAATTGAAAAATTTAAATATTATCCAAAAATTTTATCAAAAATATGTTATTTCACTGTAAATTTTAGTGTTTTATTTTAAAACACTTTTAATATTTTAAAATAAAACACTAAAATTTACAGTGTTGTAATTGATGCATTTTAAATGTATCCACTATGTTTATGCCTCACAAAAAAATTCTCAATTTTATCTAAATAATATTTTTTTTTTAAATCAGCTAGTTCAAATTTGGAGTGACAGGAATATTTTATCATCATATGGATAAAAGTGGTTATAATTCATGTATTTATGTTTAGCGCCAAGCATCATTTTTTAATCAATGGCAACGATTAAAGTTGATGTTTTTGAAACATGAGAATTTCTCTGCGTTATTGATGAGCCAAGATTTTTTTTTTTATTATAGAAAAAAATGAGTAAAGCATATAGCTTTATGCCTTCATTACTTTTTAAGACGATCGATGACATATTTATATGTATGTCAAATACTTTCAAGAACCATCAACTCAAATAAGTAATCTAATAAAATATTCAATTTCACATTATCATATGTATATTAATCACCATAAGAATAGTTTTATAAAATTTTCATCAGGCAATGCAAGGACAAAATAATAAATATTGTGCGTCAATGCTATTATTAATAAAATACAGGGGTTTTTTTTTTATATTATGCATATTTTATTAGTGTGTGTTTGTTTACAAATGATATAGGTACATACTATAATTATATTATCAATAATGCAAACGGTTAATGCAAATAAATTACGTAATTTATTGCAATTTCATTTTTGGAGCAACTTTGAATATCTTAAGAAATCATTGAAAACAAATTTAAGTCTGGTTATGACATGAAATTTCTTTAGAAAAAAATATAATAATTATCTTTGAACATTCTCCCATAGAAATACATTAAAATTTTTATGAAATTAAAAGAAAATCATAGAAAATATTTTTTCCTAATATTCTTATGCTACAATGAATTTTTTTAGGATTGAAGTAAACTACTGACATAGACAAATTCAACTACAACTTTCAATATTTATTGAGCACAGTAAAAAACTAAAGTATAATTTAAAAACATATATTTATTTATGATTATAATTACAATACCGTGAATATATTTGTACAGCAATATATATTTATCAAAAGTTTTTATTTAAAATTTTCATCCAGAGAGGAAAATGTATAATTTTTCTTTCATGTCTTGGCAAGCGGTTGTTTGAAATGGCCAAACATAATTTCGTCACCCCAGGTCATTATATGAAATTATTATAAAGCACAATCAAGAAGAGTATGGCCTCCGTTGGTGACTCCTATATCTTTTAAAGGTTTACATGCGACACAGAACACACTGCTAAATAAAGTATATGTACACGAATACGGTGCGCGCGAGCGAGCAAAAAGGACACTCACACCATTACATAAAAGCACACATATACAAGCAAAATAGCTCGCACGAACGCTCTGGGCGTCGCTGTGACACTCTGCGCGCGAAGGACGACGACGTGGAGAAGCCTTGCGCGCGATCGTGTGAGTGTGTATCGTGTCGTGAGTTGCAAAAGTCTCCCTCGCACGTCGTCTAAGTGGAGATGGTTTGAAAGGGCGAACGGGAAAGAGATGAAGATTTCCAAGTGGGGAATATATATGTGATTTCAGAGTAGGGATACAGGTAGGGCGGAGCAAATTTAATGCTTCCCCTCCGACGCTATTCTACAGAGTCAAAGCGTTGTGTCAATGCGTCCATCTCGCCTCTACGCGTCAATTTTCACACGAAAAGCATCAACTTTCCGCGCTTCGATTTCTCTTTGGGAAACTTTAAATCCCTAGCTTGCCAACTTTCTGCCTACTTTATTAAACTAGTTTTCAGGTAATTAACTGAAAAATTTGTAGAATTTATTTTTATCAAGTGTTTCTCAATCTTCACACAAGTATCGGTTTACTTCAAAAGCATTTTTATCAATAAGTATTATCGTTATCATGATATTTAAATTTGTTTCATTGGCAATTAACTGATATAAATGAAGTTAAAAGTTAGTTAAGATAAAGAGAAATGTAATTATTTTTATGAATTAATTCAAATAGAATTTATAGATGTGATTGAGGATATTTTGAAAGTAACTTTTTCCTTTGACAAACATGCACAGTAATGACAAAAAGCAGTTGCACTTTGAAATTCCAGTTGTCGGCAAACATAGTGGCACGTTGAACGCGTGGAAAGATCGACAGGTTTGTCATCTTTTGTATGAAGCATCCAAATTTAACATTCTGCATCAATTTACCCCTTCTTCGATGGAATGTGAAATAAAACGGGGATAGTTTGGGTGGAGGGAGGTGTTAATGGGCGTACTCGCGGTTAACACTCTAGTTATATTGATGGTGGGGGTGAAGGGTAGCATTCGGTACAGATCGTAGAATTTCGTAGAGAAGCAGTTGATGTGCAAGTGTGAGAGAGATAGTTTAATAAAAAGAAAAAGAGGACAGAAGCGTCGGAAAAGGCGTCGCGTCCAACGCCACCCGGATTGGCGCCGGAACGCCAATCCGAGCGTCGAGGTCTCATTATCGCCCGGTTACGGCGATAGGAGAGGTCGGAACGCAGTTCTTGTTTTGCTGAGTTTTTCTCCTTTCCCCGCAAATCCTTGACAGGATGAGGGTGAGCGAAACACTGTGACCCCCACTCCTACTAGTGCTACTACCACCACTACTAGACACAGCAACAGCAGCGCCGCTGACTTTGGAGTTTGGAGTAAACTCGAATCGTCGTAGGGGAAGAGAGGAGGAGCTCAGCAAGGTCTCAGTCTTCGCGTTGCTGCCCTCCAGCATTCACGCCTACCGCGTCCGCGCTTGGGAGAGAAACCCCTCTCTCGCTTGCACTCGAGCCTGCTCTCGCTTCCACCAACAGTCGAGCGATGCTACTCGGGACTTTAGCACACCAACACCTCTGTGCGAGAGTGAGGGAGGTGTGGGGGTGAGTCCCGGAGGAGGTGTCAATCCTAGCGCTGCTCAGTGACCATCGCGGCGCCACCCAAGTAACACCTCAGTCTCTCCGCGGGTACACCCGTCGCGAATATATCCGTAACTCAGTGTTTTTTCTTCACTACTCGTGACTATTTTCTACGTATATTCTATTTAATATTTTTCAAGTGGACGGTGGAAATTTTTCGTAACGTGTCGGTAAAGTTGACAGTTTTGTGACTATTGTGAATGTTTCAACAGTCTACTGTTTGGCTCAAGCCTTGATGAACGTGCCAGCGTGGCCTGTCGCCGGCCGTCGGACGCAGTGATTTGAGCTGGATTTTTTTCCAGTTTGAACCTTACATAAAAGGTAATGTACAAGTGTGTCGTGAAATTTGTCTCACTATACTAACAAAATTCTCTCAGCTGCATAATATCTCCAAGTTTTTTGAGGATCATATTAAAATGTACAGTGAAAAAAAAATAAATATTTCAACAAGTGTGATAATAGTCAGTGATTGAACGTGAAGATCGTGTCTTCCGTTAATATTTACACCTTTCCAGTGAAATTGACAGATACTTATTACCGAGAATTGACAGAAAATAATTTCAAAAATTGACGTGCTAAATCTATCTCCATTTTCTAGTGAAGTTCGAAACATTTTCAAAATATTCACACGTGTCTAATAACCATAAATATAATATCGTGTCAGTGTTGCAGCTGAATATCATGTAGTGAATTTAAGAGAAAAATTTAAATCAAGATAGATTAATTTGTAAAAATATTTCAATAATAAAATGTTGATATGGAGATCAAGATTAGCACGAACAGTGAAAAAAGAAATTGAAATTCTGCGTGCAAAATCTCGTGAACGTTTAAGAATATGGTGCAGAGATTCGTGAACTTGTTTATTCAATTAAATGGATAATAAAATGTTTCCATATGAATTAACAAAAAATTAAAGTGATAGAATAGAGCAAAAAAAAACATTACAAACTTAGTATATGCATAAACAAAAATACTAAAGTTAGTGTTTGGCCGTAGAAGGCTGGATTGAGTCACTCGAAGAGTAATCTCGCGCGACTCTGTTAACTCGCCCCATCTCGATGAGATTCGAACAAGACACAACGTGCAGGGGTACCCACTGCGCCAGCACTCCGTTACAGGCACCTCAGCGAATACGGCCGAAAGAAGAGGTGGAGGCGGTGGACGGTGTCTTTTCGGCGTCGCAGGACAACGCCGGTGCGTTGTTGTTAGATCAAGACAGGAGACAATTTGAATTGGAGGTAAATACACTTGAGAGTGCCAATACGGGGCTCAGAAGGGTGGCGGGGGGGCCTGGGATGGCGTACCCCGCACCAGCAGCGCCGACTCTTAATCAGCACTCGCCATTTTCCACAATAAGCAGTTCGGCGAGCGGCAACGGCAACGGACACCTTTCATCAAGTCATTTACCTGCACCAGCAGCACCACGACCTACAGATTTTAGTGTTTCGTCACTGCTAACCGCAGCTAATACACATCCATCTCATCTTGGTGGATCTTCGTCTCAAGGAAGTGCATCTCCTCCACCTGGTGGACCTGGAAGTCCGGCCGCTGCGCCTGAAACACCTCCACCACTTAATAATCAACGAGATCATCTGTCTCATCCTTCATCAGCTGAAGCAGCCGCTGCTAATTACTTTAACGCACTAGCTGCTGCTGGATTCTGTAGTCCCGGCGGAGCTCATCTCCCACATAACAATTCACCTGGTGCTGCGAACGCACCTCATCATTTATCTGGAAAAGGACTCCTCAGTAGTCCTCATCATCATCCACAGTTTAATCTTCACGGACTGACACCTCAAGGTGAATTATTTTTTATGTAATTATCAACCTACAAAACTGTTAGTTTTGATCATCAAAACCTCGTTAAAAAATGTTACAATATTGTTCTGGATTTTTTCGGATTCGAATTCTTTATCAGATATCACTGCTCTATTCTTCAGGCGTTAATTGTCTTAGCCTCTTTTAGAAATGATCTACTGAGACACACTTTGGGATAGTATTAATGTGTTGGCGGCAAGAAAAAAAGACTATTTCAATCGGGCTATATAAAAAAAACACAAAATTTCAAGTATTGATGAATTTATTACTAATCGATTTCCAAATAATCTCAAATAAATTGTCAATCATTCGATTAAGAAATATCAATCCGCTATTATCATTAAGCATAATTGAAATATTCATTAGTCCACTGTCATTTTTAAGTAATGCATTAAAATACGTCGCTTTTACAAGATTATTTTATTAAAAGAAGTTTCTTTATAAAAATATCCTCAAAGAAATTGGCTCAATTGTTGTATTAAAAAATGTGAATGATTCAATTTAATCATGAAATGTATTTTTAATGCATTCCTACATCGTTGTATTAATGGGTTATCAAATGATGTCAAATAAATAATTTCTAATTGACCAACCATCTCTACACGCAAAAAATGTATAGTAAAAATTACTCTGAATTTTATGGTAATTTGGTGACACTGCAGGGTGAGGGTAAAAATTACTATGCACAATGTAAAAATTATTAAACTGCATAGTAATTTTTAGAGTAAGATTAGAGTAAAAATTACTATGCAGTTTAATAATTTTTACATTGTGCATAGTAATTTTTACCCTCACCCTGCAGTGTCACCAAATTACCATAAAATTCAGAGTCATTTTTACTATACATTTCTTTGCGTGTAATTATTCCAAAACATTTTTTATAATAAACAAAGGATGGCTGAATATGATGAAAAAATTTAGGATAATTTTTTGAGATGATGGAAAGGCTTGAAGACATGATGTTGAAAGCAAAGGAAAGCGAAAAATTAGAAGCACTATTAGACAGCAATAATTGATGCAGATGCTTGCAAAGTAGCAAACTTTTCGGCATATTAATTTCGTAGAGCGACGCGTGACGCTGGTACTTGGTTTTTTCTAAGTGTTCAGGCTTACAGCCAACTGCTGCTCATAAAATCATGGTGATTAATCTTTGCCGAGGGCGAGCCTCACGCCGTTTGCATTCAAAATGTAGATCCATGTAATCTTTATCAGGGAGACACAATATGTGGCGAAAAAATGAAAATAGTTAAAAAAGTTGGGAAGTATTCAAAAAAGGAGAGCTCGTAAACTGATTGTGAAAGTAAGATAAAGAGTTATACTTTTATGTATCATACTGGTGTGTTATAATGTACATTTTAATGCTGTAAATTGCTCTTATTAAAGTACAATATTTCATTGAAAATTAATTTAAGTAAAAAACTTTGAATTGTAAAGTTAAATAACTGAATAACGTAAAAATCAATTAAAATTCAATTTGAATATTTTATCCTAAATAAAATCACTTTTAGAAATTTATATTTGACCAATTTTTCAATAATAAAGATTAATTTCCAATGATATTCATATAGCAAATAAAATGATGAAAATATATGGACAATTGTTTATAAACGTTAGAATTAATTCTCAAATGAAATATTTGAATTCAGATCAACAAATAATGTCAATAAAATGACATTTTGGTATATTATATTTAATTTATTTCAATATAATGAGAAAATAATTAATTTAAGAAAATACTAATTAAAAATAAATTGTTTATTACCATAATATTTTTTTGTTAAATGTGAAATAAAAAAAATTAACAGTGACATAATGATTCCAAAGGTTAGGATATTTTGAATTTATTTAATAAGTGTATTTAAAGATTTCATAGTGATCTTAATCATTGCTATTTATTAAACTACGTCACATTTGAAATGATATAATTCTATTGCTAGAAATATACGACCGTCGAGATGATCGACGGGTGAAAATGTTCGTGCGTGTGGTCTCTTTGATGAAGCCAAGACCTCATGACTTATCTTCTGTCTTTGCTTATACCCTTAATTTACATCGGCCGTACCGCAAATATCTTTGTGTAAATGCCTTACGCAACAACTATTCTATGAATTGTATAGCGTAAAGAAATCGACAAATGTTATATGTTCGATCAACAACGTGATATGAATTATAATCGAGACGTTATTCAGATATCAATACATAATGGTAGAAAATGTATAACAGTTATTTAATAAGATAAAAAAATCGAGAAAACGAAAATAAAAGTATTAAATGGCATACGTTTAAGTACTCTTTATTTATTTTTTATTTAATTGTTCTATTGATGTATGTAGTGTCAAAAAATATTTTTGTATAATTTTTTAAATGTAATATATTGTTAAATTTACACACACTAAAAGATGTACGTGCATATACATCTCAACCTCATATGAACACTCATTTCCCCGAAGCATGACCGGGCGCGAGTTTGACCCTCGCGGACGACGAACAAATAGCAGACCATCGAAGCAAACTCTTCGGTTTGTTTTGTGTCTCGATGATCGATCGTACATGAAAGCTTATATATCGTCTAAGAGAGACGAACAGTCAAAAAAAATATGCCTAGAAGTGAACGAATCCAGTGATTAACTGCTTCAAATTAATTTTAAAACATTTAGCATTATTTTTCTTTTATTAATTTATTTTTCATTGATTTTTGACACGAAAAAGTCATTCAAAAAAAATATACTCATCATTTCATTGCCAAAAATGTCACATTTTTCATCTAAAATAATCGGGTCATTTCAAAAATAATATGTAATAAAATATTATAACATTCTTCCGCAAAAAAATTATATGCAATTTGCAAAAAATGTTTTAGCAGAGTTAATGTTTCGCAATTGCGTTGTTTAAATTCTGAGCTTGAAGTAGGCAAAAGAAGTAGTATAGATGATAAGTCACTAATATGTCAGTTATTTTCTTTAAAGATTTAAAATGATTTAATAGAGCAAAAATATTTAATAACGTCTTTGTTTGCTTAGATATTTTTTACTTATTGATATAATCCGTCAGAAATGAAGTGGTGGTAGAAAAAAGTAAGCTCGTGTCGATTACTGTATTTTACGATCACACGGTCGTTCGTAAAATTGATATCTGTGGCTTGTTGTTCGTTGGAGATCCCAGGAAGAGTTTTTGCAAAGAAAAGTGTGGGTTTGTATAATAGCCAAGAAATAAGAAGCTACTTGGTAAACAGACTTATACACGGTTTCAACTATTTCTCAATGTATAACTGACGACTCTCTCTTTCTGTTTATGTATATACCTGGGAAAAGTTTTTGCACTTGTTACTAAACGACTACCGGGATCGCGTGATCGAGTCATCCGGTGGTTTTATCTGAATGACAATGACGATTGATTCTATTCGATATTTCAAGTCTTAGTCTTGTAACCATTCACAGATAAAAATCATTTGCTAAGTAAAAAACTCTTTAGCAAAGAAATGATTTTATTTGAAATTCTAAATGTATATCATGGGATCATTTTATTTTTCTGGAACATTGCGTGGGTAATAATGTATTATAAATTATTAGGAACAAAGAATGAAGATTTATTATGTCGTGAAATTATGCATTTCTAATCAGAACATTTTTTATAGAAGATTTGTTATGCTGAATTTGAATGAATGGAAGGCAGAAAAATTTTGTTACTCATGCAGAGATGATATCCATTGTTTCGATCAATAAATTTTACTATTTCTGTGTTTAAAATTCATCTTCTACAAAAAAGTTATATTAAAAAATCAATAAAAGAGCTCCTAAAAATCACTCTATTTTTATTATGTTCTAAATAGTTTTTTTGTCGGAAAAAAAATTCTCAGAACCTCATTAAATAGTTTTGCTGAACTTTAAATTAAGGTATTTATATAAAAATATTATTTCCAAGATTTATGATGATTAATAAGTCAAAGCAACATCATTGTTGGCTGAAGAAATAATTTATCTATTTAAATTTATTCATTGATAATAAATATTGATTAAAAGGAGCTGTAAAAAAATATTCCAATAAATAATTGATTGCCAATTAAACTAAAGAAAATAATAAATTAATTTTTCAGGCCTTGGTCTTGGTCCTCACACGCCGGAGGAAGCAAACGCAGCCGTCCTGGCAGCAGCAGCAGCAGCTCTTCATCACCATCACCAAGGTGGTCCAGGTGGTCCAGCAATGAGGCCATTGAGGTTACCACTTCCTCCAGGCATGATGCACTCATCGCCTCTTCCTCTGGGTCCTCATCATCCTCTTGCAGCTCCTCACCACTTAGTACCACCTCATCATCCTGAAGAAGATGGCGTTGTTGATGATCCAAAGGTCACATTAGAGGGTAAAGAGCTCTGGGAAAAATTTCATAAGCTCGGAACTGAAATGGTCATTACCAAGAGTGGAAGGTAAGATTTCTTCATCAACTCTTCATCATTATTTCCTACTATTTCTCAGAGTTTTATTTCATTTCCATAATTACGTATTTAAAAATATCCGTGATTTCGGTTCCTTTAAATACAACTGTCTTATTGCAATTATAATTGCAGTCACAAATAAGTATTTACACGCGTTACAAGTGAGTTATTCACACATAATTAAAACAAATAAACGTTTGAATTTACAATAATTATAGTGGATATAGTCCATAGTTAATTCTGTCAAGATAAAATCAATCAAAAAATCTAAGTAATTGATCTTAAGCTGTCTAGTTAACATTTTAAAAATGTATATTTAATCGATTAGTTTCACAAACATTCTCTTTTGCACAATCAGCTCTTACAAATGGTGGCTCTTATAGATTACTTTAATAGATGGAAAAGCTTTTGACTCTTCTTTTCTTCATCTTGGTAATTCATCCATCAATCTCGAGAATCACCACCAAACTTCCTCTTGCCTATGTTTGTCTGCAAAACTGTCGAAGTTGTGGTTTACGCATTTAGGCTTCTTATTTTCCATTAAGCAACAAATATCGACTAACTGAATCTCTTGGTGAGTGATCAACAGTGAAAACTTTCGCGAGGTTGATTGGAAACCAAGAAAATCTCAGTGATATGATCTCTGTTCTTGTTATGGTAAAAATACTTACTTTTTTTATTATATACATCAATCACCAAGCATTTCAAATTTCTAACATTCTCTTATCAAGATCAATTTTGCTTAAAAAAGTCATTTCAACCAGTAAATACTTTATCTACATTTCAAATAATATTTCCAACTCTTTACTGATTATTATTCTTTCAATATCCAGCTAAAAATATTTCTTTCAAGTTGTTAAAAAATATACCATTCTTAGAGCATCTTTTTTTTAAATAACTAATGACTTTTTGTTTCAAGTTGACTGAAATAGTCTTATGTCACCAAGTAAACTCTAACTTGAGACTAAATTTATCAACAAAGCTTTTTAACAAAAAGAGAATAACAAATAACAAATGTTAATGTTTGAAAAATATCCAATTGTTGACTTTTAAAAACTTGTTGGTAAAACCAAGTATCATCTAAGAAATTTCATTATTTATACAATGTGTATAGCAGCATAAAAAAACATATGCAATGATAAGTTTTCAGAGTCGGCAATAAAAAGCCTTACGTGTCATATGTATATTCGACAACGTGTATTAGATTGAGTATGTTGTGCAGTTAATATGTTATATAGATCGGTTCGCTTAGACGTTTATTAGTAGTACGGGAAAAGAAAATAACTAGATTGATATAGAGCTTATAAAGTATGATAAAGAAAATGTCTAATATAAAAAGTGGATAGAAAAGGACAAAATGTGAATGAGTGAGTGAACAAACGAGTTGCAAAAGGGCGGTCATGTGCTTGTACATATTTAATGCGCGACGGACAGGTGCGTGCACGATCAAGTGAAAAGGAAGAAAGTAATGAAAATGATGTGCATCAAGTTTCGTGAATACTATGTTGTTACTTTGTTCTATACCAGTTCATCTTGACTCTAGGGAAATAAATAAGATCACGCGACTATAATTTTTCAAAACAATTAACAATTACTATTCGCCTACACTTTGATCAATCAGCTGATATTCAATTTTTTATTTTTTCATGAAGATATGATTCATTTATTTTCTCTTCTCAGGAGTCATTATTTATTCAAATTAATTACTATAACTTTTCTATTATTCAATTATTCTATTCCATCTCATTTAAATAAAACTAATTGATTGTATCAAGTTAAAACTAATTGTCAATTACTTAGAAAAATAATGAATATTTTTTGAAGGGTCTAAAAGTGAATGCAAATGGATACATAATAGCATCAATCTAAGCTTACATCTTATTTCATCTTGGCATGATCAACAAAAGTACAAGATATCGGGTGCATGTCTGAGGCGCAATATAATCTTCCATCAGTATGCTCTAAATCAATCTGCATCGATAAATCGTTTCCAACGCGCCTGCTCTCCTGTACCCCTTCATCCTTTACATCTCTCGCCAATCATCCATATCGGAAATATTTTATGATGCGTCTATGTAATATAAGTATGTGACGGTAATATATACAGATCCATCATCCATCATCAGTTTAAGTTATAGTTTATAATACATGATGCACACCATGTCGGATAATTACACAGGCTGAAAATTGTATCGAGTATCTGAGCAAACTTAGTACCTAACTGACTACATCTCAATACACGAGTCCTGTTCATTGCCTCTTCTTTATCATCAACATATGGCCTAATATACGTGTAAGGTCTCACATGTATACGGTTGGCTCATTCTCACACGATTTGCGCGGTCGTTTTAAAATGGCCAAGTTTCACTCACACGTGTTTGATGTAGAAGGTAGACGTTTTGATGAGGTGTAGAGAGATACTAACACAAAGATGGTGAGTAAATACACATCACATGAATCTGCTGGTGGATCAGAATGAGCAGAGGCAAATAGACCTCCGGGGATGGCCAGAAGTACAGTGAGAATACGAGTAAGAGAGGAGAGAGAGTTTTGGTTTTGATGCATATACATATACGAGTAAATAATGCGGGAGGAGTGAGAGAACTTAAGTATAGGGTTTGGTTAACGATGTTTGTTTTATACATTGGCAGCCTCTTCGAACCTGTAATCTCTTTAAACGAGATATTATACAGAGTCTATCTCACTTGCTCATATCTACTGCTAAGTTGTGCTGTTTCTCTTCATCTTGTGCACGTCTTCATGCGAATATTCTGGTCAGTTGTATCAGTAAACTCAATACAACGACAATCCAGTTCACAACGTGAGCCTTGGGCCCAAAATTACTTCTTTTCCTTCATCGTATTTTAGCTCTCTTCCTCTCTGCAGTCTCCTCACATTCCCTCTTTACCTATACTGCTTACTCAACTGGAACACAAATTGGTGGCTATTCACCAACCTATGTGGGCCTCCAGCATCAACAATATTCAGACCTAGACTACTTTTATTCAGGAGTGAAATAATAGTTAATTAAATCATTAAACAGTATTTTTTTTGTAGAAAAATTATAAGATAAATATTTAAATTTGTAAATTAATTGAGGTAAAAAATATTTATATATGAAGAATAAATTATTAAATTTGACACTTTGTAAATCGTTTATTAAATATTAATGAGCCGTTTATGTTAAAATGATTTATTTATTATTTTCATTTGAGCATCAGTTGAGAGAGTTGGTTAATTGAAAATAATCAATAGAAAATGAATTAATTAAATTTTTTAATAAATGATAAAATTAATTCATTTATAGACTAGTTTATTTATTTGCTGCAATAATTATTTATTTTACAAAAATTATACATCAATTAAAATAAATATCTTCATTAATTTAAAAATCATTTTTAACTGGAAAATTTATTTTCAATCGTATGTTAATTATAAATAAATATTTCTGTGATTTCATTTAGAAATTAAAATAAGAGATTCACTGATGATAATAATTATACACAATTAAACATTATTTTCTATTTAAAAAAAAATGTCCACTTTAAATAATATTGCTTGAAATTCTATATAATTATTCTCATTTTCAATTTAATTAATTAAAAGAAATAGAAGTTACTAACATACAAAATGGTTATAAAATCAAATCTAATTGAAAAAATTACATGCATGTAGTTATTACCAAGTCATTAAGGTCTTTGAAAAAAACTGTAAAAAACGGATTGGAGTTTATACAATAAAATAGAATAAAATAAAAGTATGAAAACGTGCAATCATGTATTTTATTCTAGGATTTACTATGATTATTATTTGATCAATTACTCTATTACCGTCAATGTATAATCTTTTCATCAAACAGTATCTATGCAATTAGCTATTAGTGGAGATCTCAGTGGATATAATTTCCGAGTTGATACAAGAAATTAAAGTGAAGAATACAATTAAAGAGACATTGCACATTTCCTGGCACGCGAAAGCGTAAAGAAGATGAGCTCAGTTTCACAGTGAGTGAGGCGACTTAATCTCTTTGATTTTCAAATCAAATAGACGCTAGAGGATTCCGTGGGGGCAAACAAACCCGTAAAGACGGTGCTAGTGACAAAGTTGTCGGCTCCAGAAAAAGAGAAACAGAGAAAGAGATAGAAGCGTGGGCGCCGGGTAGTAATCGGTTTAACAAAACTTGTCCTCAACCTTGTTAATCTCTCGTCGCTTCTGTCGAGCAATGAATTGAAACGCCTACCGTACGATAAAAATCTTAGATCAACTGTTAGTAGATTCACAGTTGTATAATGTCATCAAAAATGTTTATCAAGTAATTTTAATCCATTATTTACTCATTTATAGATGTTTATTTTCCTAAGGTTTAAACTTCCTGTCGTTTTCGAATTATACAATTAATTTTATCTTGAGTAGCTGAGAAAAGTGGAATTTTTTTTCGTGGATTATATTAACTGACAATGAAGTGGTGATACAACAGTTAATTACTGCTAGATAAGAAGCTAGAGTTGCGAAAATTCTTCTTTAATCGCAAATTATCAAGGTTTTACGTAAAGTAGGATTTTCTTAATAATATCATGAAGTAGATTATTTTACTAATAGTATCAAATGAAAACAAATTGAAATTATTTAAAATAAAAACCTCCAGATAATTCAAGGAAAAAAATTTTTTCTTGTGAAGAAATGATGAGTTGTAACGTTGATTAGTGATCATCAACACAAACTTTTTAAATTCAAAAAAATTTTTCTTTGGAAGGATTATTTTTTAAGTGGCTTATTAGACTTTGCCTGAAGTACTTTTTACTTCGTTTTACTTTATTTCACTCACTCGCCTACTTTCTTCACACGACCCTCAGTCGCCTTATCATTCTTTAGGTTACTAGATCTCACCAACTCGAAATTCCACATTGTCTTTCTCGAAAAAAATTAAAATATTTACAGTTTTGTCGAATGTTATGATGATGAAATTAACCACGTGGTTTTTATTTAAATAA